GAAACCAGCCACAGCCACCCTCTGCCCACCCCCATTGCCAACCCCCTGCCAGGCTGGGGAAGGTGCTGGGGCGCAGGGGGTGCCAGCTCCCCTCACCTGCTGGGTGTCACGCGCAGGAGGTCGGACACCTTGTGCATGTAGTCAGTGGCCAGCAGGACCACCTCCTCCTCCTCCGAGAAGTTGTCTTGGAAGATGCGGTCTAGCAAGCGCTTCCACTTGAGCTGCCAGGGTGGGCACCATCAGGGGGGCACAGGGACACGCACACACCCCCATGCCACCCTGGAGGGAACCGCTTCCAGGCTTCCCAGCCTCTCACCACCCCTTCTCACACAGAAAAGTGCACGATGGATTCATCACCCTCAGGTGGGCTTATCTGGGGGGATTCAGCGAGGACGTGGAACAAGGGGACGGGGAGAGGCGTGGGGCACAGGGCAGATGGAGGTTGTGGGGTGTCAGGCTGGGCACCGGCGTTCTCACCGTGGGAGTGATGCGCTGCAGCTCGCCCAGGGTCACTCTGTGGTACATGCTGCTGACGTCCCTCCGCACGTCGTCGTACTCGGACACCGTGATCTGCCCAGGGTGGACGTGGCTGTCACCAGCCCACTGCCCACCTTGGCAGTGGCACAGGGACGGGGCACAGCTCAGGGGCAAGAGAGGCTACTGACCCACATCCCTCCCTGTTCCCTGCACCAGGAACCCTCTGCTGCCAGTGGGGCCCCGAGGGCTGATCATGGGGTACCCAAGGAGTTGGGTTGCCTGAGAGCTGAGCACAGGGATCCCTCAGAGCTGAGACTGGGGTGCCCAAGAGCTGGATATGGGGGTCCCCAAGGGCTGGGGGGGTTGTCCTGAGGGCTGGAATGAGGGGGTCTCATGATTTTGGGGTCCATGGCAGGGATGCCCAAGGGCCAGGCATAAATGTCCCAAGGGCTGGAAGTGGAGGTTCCCAAGGGGATTGGGATGGTGGACCCTAGGGCTAGACATGGATGTTCCCAAAGATCTGTGACTGTGGTGCCCAAGGGCTGGGCAGGGGCACTCCAAAGCCCAGGGCGGGCACCCCCCTCACATTGGCAAGGTGCTGCTCCAGCTGCAGGATCTCCTGGGCCTTCTGCTCCACATGCTCAGCCCCCAGGAGGGTGTTCTGCTCCACGTGCTCAGCCCCCAGGATGTGGACCAGCCGCTCCATGAACACCCGGTACGCAGCCAGGATCTGTGCCAAGGGAAGTGACTCTCAGTGCCATCCTGCATTGCCCCGAGGGCACCCCAGGCCCTGGCACTGCTGGCAGTGGGGTGCCGTCTGTCTGCCACCCTGTGCTGGGTGCTGGTCCTTCTCCTGGTGTCCCCATGGCATCGGTGTCGCCTCCCCCCCCTCACCTTCTCACTCTCCTCATCCTGCCCCAGGTAGAGGGTCCTTTCGGGCAGAGTCAGCCCATCCTGGTCGATCTGGGGGTGAGAGATGGGGGCAGCATTGGCACACAGGCTGCCCCACACCCTGTCTTGCGCTAGCACCACACTCCGCCCCATCTCTGCCT